TCTCTTGCAGCCCTGGGCCTTAATGTCCAGTGGATGCTTCCCCAAGCAGGGGTCCTGTGCCTCTGGCCAGGACCCCCCCCTTCTCCATTTCCACGGGGTGCAACTTCCTTTCCAAAGGGGGATTACGATAATGGTGCAACGGTTTGTCACTGCAAAAGTCAAACAATGAGAGCTTTAGCAGCAGCAAGAACTTGTTGGGAGCAGCGTCCGACCCTGAAGCTAAACTTGGACTAAAGGGTGGAAGAATGAGGGTTCTTTCAACCAGAAATATTTTTGCTCTGATTTTTTCTGTTTCCCACTCTTAATTATGGCAATTTTTGAGTGTTTTCTTTTTTTCATTGTACTAACTTGGTTATAAACAGATTTAGGAGTCTGACAAGGTCTGGAAAATTTAACAGTAACCAAGAATTCTGACCTAACTCTTCCCTTTCCTCTTGTCTCCAGATGGAAAGGTCAGCCCGAGCACCCTCCCTGTTTTAGCCACCCCTTCCTTGCTCCCTTCCAACTCTTCAGCTGCAGTGGACATTGCTGGTCCCGTGAAAGCATTAATCGATGGCAGTGGAGGTGAGGACCCTTCACGTGTGCCCCAGGAAAGGCCTTCTTTCTCCAGGAGGGCAGTGCTCCCCAGCTGGCCTTGCTGCTGCTGTTCTTCTTGCAGTGGCCTCTGTGCGTGCGTGTGCGCATGCATGCACACACACAGATTGAAGGCTGACAGAGGAAATGGTCCCGTTCTCATTGATGCGTGGCCAGCCGGCCAGCCTGCCCACCTCTTGCTTTCTTCCTTCACTTGCTGGGTGGACACGCTGTCCTCTTTGGCTGGACAGCCACCAAGCTTTCTTCTGAGGCTGCTGTCCCTGTCACCAGTTGCTGCTCCTGGTCGCTTTGAAAGCCACCGGGTTGACTCCCTGCCCTGATCCAGATGCTCAGCTGATCAACCACATTGCCTTTTTGTTAGCAGAGATTGAGATCGGTATGCTGGATGAGAAACTGATCAAGTTCCTGGCCTTGCAGAGAATACACCAGCTCTTCGCTTCCAAAGCCCAGCCCTTGGCCGACAACGTGGGAGGCCCCCCACCCAGTTCTGCAAACAGTCCTGCGGAAGGTAATCTATGCAGTCTTAATCTTACACTTTCCTGTGAAGATTGCTGCTGTAAAAGGTGGTTAGAAAGGAGGTAGGCAGAGACTCAGGGGGCTTGGCATCCTCCTGCTTGTGTTCCCCCTGCTACCCCCCCCCCCGGCTTTCCTTGGCTGCCTCTCTGCTTTGCTTTCCGAGTGTTGTACAATCAAAGTACGAAGTAACCCCTGAGAGAGTGCTAGGGGCCCACCCCTGCTCATAGCAGGAATCTGGACTAAAGCATCACTGGCAAGTGGCAGACTGGCTTGGTTTAATCCATCCAGCAAAGGGAAAACCCACCATCACCCCCCGCTCTGGGCCCTGGCACTGCTCTCGGCTGTTCCGACTGCCTCGGAGGACGATGGACACATTGGATGCCCGCTGCTTTGTGATCATTGGCACCCTGTCACAGGCACCGTTTGCTGAGGAGCCCAGAGAAGCAAAACCTCCCCCCTCCCAGCACACAGATTTTGCTGAGCCTTTCTCTGGCCTAGGAGCAGCATGTTGGCAGAAAGTGGGATGGGAGGGTTAAGGGAGGTGCAGAAGTCCTCTTTTCCCATTTTTGCTGGGGAGGTGGGACTAAGTGGAGCTGAGCCCAATTCTTCCCAGTGGCGATCAGAGGAGACGTTCGGACCTGAGCATCCCATCGCCTACCCTGGGAGCTGCTTGGGACCCAAGGCACCTTTCTGCCTTTCAGGACAGAGGAAGGAGGTGCAGGCCCGGGCCGTCTTCTACCCTCTCCTGGGCACGGGCAGTGCTGTGAACATGTGCTACAGGACCCTCTACATCGGGACAGGCAAGGGCTGGTTCTCTGCATGGCTGGCAGGTGTTGGTAGGAGAATGTGGTGAATGCATACAGCTCTCCAGGGGAAGGAGCCTAGCAGCTCTTCCTGCGGCTTGGGATGCATTCCTGGGGCTTTCTCTGCCCCCCTCGCTGAGAAAGTCACCCTCTGGGCAGCTGCTGAAACATTTTTTTATGTAAAACAAATGCAGAAGGGCAGGAATCAGAGGCTGGCTCTGTCTTCTGGGAGGTGCCCTGACTCCAGCTCCCTCCCTGAGGCCTCCCTGGTTCTGGTCAGTAGTGGGGACAGCCTGCCTGCCAGCGCACCTGCCCCTGAGCTGCGGTTCTGACCCTCCTCCTTCACTTGGCAGGAGCAGACATGGACGTGTGCCTTACAAACTACGGTCACTGCAACTACGTCTCAGGCAAACACGCCTGCATCTTCTATGATGAGGTGAGGGGCAGAAGGAGGGGAGTGGTTGCACGTAGGCACATGCCCTGTTTTGGGTTGAAGCAGGCATGGAAGCGTTTTGGGGAGGGTGTTCCAAAAAGGGACAAGGCTCTTTCTCTGGTTTTTTTCCCCAACCTCAGCCATTCTGAGATTTGGTACAACTGAGTTTCTTTCCCAGAACACCAAACATTATGAACTGCTCAACTACAGCGAGCACGGCACAACGGTGGACAATGTCCTGTACTCGTGTGACTTCTCTGAGAAGACGGCGTTCATCCCTCCCAGCAGCATGGTTGCCAAAGTACAGAGTGTGATCAGTAAGTTCCCAGGGCCATTTCTACTTTCGGCCAAGAAGTACAGGTAGTCCTTGCTTAATGACTGTTTAATAGCGGTTCAAAGTTACAACGGCCTCAGAAAGGGTGCTTTAAAGCACTTCCGGCCATCGCAAAACGTCATGCCACCCACCCTCCCCCAACCAGTCATGTGGCTGCATTTATGACCAGTTGCCAGACTCCCCGCAATCAGGTGATTGCCACTTGCAGTCTTCTCTACTGGCTTCCCCAGAAAGTCAGTGGGGAAGCCGGCAGGGAAGGTTGCAAGTGGAGGGGACGGAGGGGAGCTGAAGCCTTCTGCAGGCAGCCCTTTCACTCCGTCCGCCTAGCCACCCAGGAGATCGCTTAACGACTGCAACCGGGACTGTCCGGATTGCGGTCGTTGAGCGAAGCAGTCATGTGGCCATCTCAGCGATCAAGATTCTAGTCCCAGTTGTGGTCGTTAAGCAAGGACTACCTGTACTTCCACACCCTCGTATACATCCGCATACACCTCACCAGCTCCCACAAGGGGGGTCCTAGAATCTTTTTAGTTCTCTCTATTGAACGCTGGCTTGCTCCAAGTTCTCTGTTGTTTGCAAAGTAACAACGTTTTTTAAATTTTCATTTATTTATTTATACAATTTATATAGCCGCCCATCTCAGACCAGTGTTCTGTTTTACATGCTGTTCCTGCATCAGTGGCCACGTAGCTCATTAGGATCTAGCCCCGTCTTCCTGCTCACTCTGATCCGTGACTTGCTCTGAGCTGCCCTCCTCTAAACTGCGTTCAGTTCTGGCACGCGAGACCTTCCTGTGCCTCTTTGTGGGATGGCAGTCGTAGCTACCCAAAAGAAAGTTGCGGGAGGAGGGCCTTGTTTGTCTTCTACTGAAGTTTGTAATCGGAAAAGGTGCTACCAGGCTCCTCCTGGCTTCCTGCCGAAGGAAAGCACGTTCGATCCAGAAAGGACTGTTGGAGTTCTCGGCACCGCTAAACGCTTTTCTTTTTAATCTGAAGAAGAGCTACGTGGCTCGGGTTTCCTTGGAACTGGGAGACGCAGGCTGTCTGGTCTTTTGAGCTTCCTGGCTGAGGTGCACCTAGGCAGGACCCACTCTTCTCTCCCTGGCTGTCCCGAAGCCCCTGGCCCCCCGCCAGGGTTGGGGGATTCATCCTGTGGTCTCAGGGCTAACCCTCCGGTGCCCCCCTGAGGTTGGTTCTTCCATGGGCATCTGATTCCTCCAGCTGAACTGTTTCATTTCACGGGATTCTCTTCTGCTTCCTTCTCGTTATTTCTGACGCTCCAGGCCTTTTTGTGGTGCTTGTAACGGTTGCGTGCAGTGTGTAGACAAGGCATTGCTCTCAAGCAGGGAACGCAGAATTCACCCTCCTACTTGTGCGAGCTTGAATTTCAAATAGCGGCGGCGGCGGCAGGAAAGTTTGAGCTGGGCATAAACCGTAGAAGCCAGTGGGGGCTAACCCCAGTTCTCCTTGGCAGGCGATAGGGTCCCCTAAAGATGGTACAGAATAGCAGAGATTGCAGCTAATTATAAAATGCGGTTTCGTTTGCATAATTAAACAGACCCCAGAGTGGATTGTCTTGGCTCAGGACTTGAGGGCAGAGAACCATCTTCCTCACACTTTGCATCCATCCTCTGTATGTTCTGCCTCCAGAGCGCCACAAGAACCGGAAGCAGCTGGAGGAAGAGCCGCCACCGAGCGAAGAGGCCGCGTCGATGAGGGCCCAGGCCCAGGGTCAGGCCCAGCATCCCTGCAGTTGCAAAGCCAGCAGTTCCAGCCTGATCGGAGGCAGCGGGGCGGGATGGGAGGGGACGGCTCTGTTGCACCACGGCAGCTACATCAAGCTCGGCTGCCTGCAGTTCGTCTTCAGCATTACGGAGTTTGCGACCAAACAGCCCAAGGGGGACGCGTCGGCCTTAGTCCAAGAGACGGACTTGGAAGAGAAACTGTCCCCCAAGGCCCACCAGGTTCCTGTGCTTCGGTCCAATTCAGTGCCATAGGAGCTGTGGGGCAGCAAGGAGGGAGGTGGGAGGAAAGCCCCTCCCTCCCTCCCTCCCTCCCTCCCCGAGATCAGAGACGCCTGTTTGACACACACAAACCATGTCTGTCCGCATTTTTTCCTATGTGGGCCGCAGACTTTTGATGCCCTTTGCATGAAATGAAGAACTTTAATTTTTTTATGGTTTGCTCAAGTTTTAGGGGCATTTGCACATATATTTGTACTATACATTTCATTTA